GGCTATTCACATTTCCTATATCCTCCTATCACGCCTTCACTGTTACAACTTTTACCGTGTCTATTTCGATGTAGTGTGTTGTACTCCTTTTGATGTTTAGCAATGGCCAATTGTCAAGCTGGTAGGAAAAAAGAATGGGCAGAATGTAGGTCAAGAGCCCTGCAAACCGCATACTGTATCGGCGGCGGATATTATTACGTTTTCGGTAAACCCACTTATATTTACATGCTCTTCGACGACATTAGAGAAAACAAGAGAACGGAATTGTGCGAATACGTGGATGAGCCAAATGAAATGTGGTTGAGAGAAATAGATGCGGCACTAGAAGGTAAAACAGAAAGATAGGGGCGAGGAGTGATGTCACAGCGGTTGAACAGAAAATTGGTCAGAGTGATTGCCTTCATTTATCACTTTGATAAGTTGCAAATCTGTGCTTACGATGGCACCTCTTATTGACGATGCAGACTACGGGGCTGGCGAAACGTTTGGGAATCTACCAAGTCAATCGTCCAGTTCTGGAAATCACGAATACTATGGCAAAGGACACAGGACTAGGTACGTTCCACAAGGGCTTTGACGCTACGATGATGTTGTGAAAACAAGGTCGAATCAACACCATAAGGCTAAAGGTCTTATTATAAGATTGCTCAATTAGAAGAGAAACAAAAAGTGATCTCTTGAATCTTATTTTGAAGGGCTAGTAGTTATGTACAACATGCATCAATAAAATTAATGCATCAGATTACAAAAATTAAAAGCATTATAAATAGATATCTCATCTTTTCGAGGAAGGATACTATCTAAGTGGTGAATAATTTATATTAAAGGATGAATTGTTAAATCTTATCATGTTTTAATGATATCCATGATATTGTGTATACCAAACCTGCAAACGTAATGGGGAAATTAATAAAGTTGAAAGTAAAACATAAAAAAGCGGTCATCAAACTTAATAATGTTATACACAAGAAAATACAAAAATTGAGATAAGATCAACATTTGCCTTTGTCAAGAACCTTGAATTAATATAAGATAAGAATCTTCAGTGAGATCACCCAGAGAATAACAGGTATAGAAGTGGGTTGACCCGAGGCCACAACATCTTGGTCTTCACATCTTCAATAACAGGTA